GGGGGGGGGCAATTACAGCGAATTATAGGCGATTTTCATGTTGAGAACAATAGATACAGGTACATGGAAACGGAACCAATAAGTTGGAGAAAAAAAAGAACATTAATCCGTAGACAGGAAAAAGATGCTAAAACATCACCTGGACATGGATGGCTGGTGTCTCTATAAATAGATCATTGATGGTCAAGGTCACTGTGGGGTCCCAAGTTCTCTTCCCAGGGGGTTTTTCTTTCTCCAACTCTGCCATTTAAATTGCCCAAGATAAATATTATATCTTCTTTGTTCTTGATGGTGTTAATGTGGTCACTCAGTTCTTGGAAATATGATTGTCTTTTTTCTTCTGTATAGCTGTCGTTACAAAGAGAGAATGTTTGGATGTACGTTGTTGTTTTGCCACCTCATATGAGTTTTATGCTCGATGTTTTTGTTAGGTCGTGGGGGGGGGGTTAAGCTCTGCGGACAGCAAACAGGCCATACAGCGACGCTGCTCAGGCACACGATGATGTATACTACGTTAATTTGCACGGTGCGAGCTAGGCAAGCTACAGGTCTGACCTACAGAGCCACTCTGGGACCGACCTTAGTTGAAAGAGGGCAGTGTAACTGCACCTGACAAGTCACTTGACCCATTAGAACAAATTATTATTTTATTCGAGAAAAAGATGTTACTTAGTGAACTGAACGTAACAGCACCATACTCTAACGAACTCGTGGTTCATCGTGGTGCCCATCATTTGACTCTATTTAAAACAAAATTGAGGGCAACGTAAAAAGATTTGCACGTATACACAACTGCATGTATAAGGGATAGCATGCATATGGTGAGCGCGCTTCTCAGCGAAGTTTTTACTAGGCTACTTTGCTTACAGAGGGAAAGAAGTAGGCATACATGTAAAAGGCGAATATAGTACGCGGGATAATTCATGCAAATTTTTATATTTCACATGTGAGGTATCAGCTTAGCCAGCCTATATCAGTCTATTCCCCTGTGTAAGACTTTGAGTTTACATTCTTGTTAATTTCAAATGATCTAAGACAAATAACAAGTATAATGAGACGATCACAATGTTAATCTAAAATCGTACTAGGGTGTGTGTGAGGGGGGG